AGTCTTCCAAAAAAACGATTTTATTTCCTCCTAGCCTCTCTGCCTACCATTCAGAGGGGCCTACCGGGCTTCCCACAGAAGATTCCAGCAGGTTCTTCCCTGGCACATTGTACTCCTCTGCTCCCACCAGAGGAGTTGTGTTCATATATAGTCAACCATGGTCCCAAACCTGTTTATGCCAGTTGCTTTGTAATGACATAAAATATTCAAATACTACACAAACACATGAAATAGAGCACAAAAAGAGTTGTTAGTAGTTTCTACAAAAACGAAGCTGAATGCTTTGGAAAGACTCAATACAGGCAAGTAGCCAAGAAAAAAACTGCTGGCAAATTAGGTGTGGATGAGACAACTGTAAATGATTAGGGGCAAAAATAATAAAAACCTAGAATCATTCTATACTCGGATTGCTTTGCAAATGTCTTTACATTCTCATTCACTTTAAAGAAACCCAAATGGAAACCTTAGATAATGCTTACGGGTGTGGTTTGCGCAAGGAAGACAATTAGGGGTTCACGCTCAAAGAAAAGTCCTTGGCCCCACATCAGAAAATCGTTGAGTGAACATACATGTGTTTTAAGTTAAAAATAAACTGTTAAAGGTGTGTGTGTATCATTTGTATGATTTTCTGCTTTAACCTACTTTTGTAATTAACTAACGATCCTGATCAGGAAAGAAAAATTTTCTACTTTATTTCTTTTATACAAAAGATAATTATTAATTTATTCATTCCACATTCAACAAATATTTATTAAGCATCAACTGGGTAGCGGTTTAGATGTGGGCTACACAGACTCTGTCCTGCCTTATGAACACCATGAAGTTTAATACTTATGATCCGAGCCCGGCCTCTTCTCTTCTTCCTCCTCCTCCTCTTTCTTGTCTTCTCCTTCCTTCCTGTGCTTCTCCTACTCTGCCCCATTTCTTGGTCACGGGTATAGGGACACTGATTGACCCCGTGACCCTTCCCAATTATCACATATTCCTCTAACCCTGAGAGGAGTCTCAGTTTTCACTGATCAATCATAAGCCATCACTACTTTGGGCATTCTCTTTCTCACACACACAAACCCACTTTCTCAACCCACTTCTTTCTTGTTTTCTATATTCAGGATCTTTTTCAGGTGCCCCAAGAACAACCACCTTTCTCTTTCTCATTCCCTCAATCCTTTTTGGTTGTATTTCTAAGTGAAGCAGCTGACTTTATTTATAAAGTCTATAGTTATAAAAGCTATATTTATAAAGGAATACGACGTTACTGAAGTGCACATCAAAGCAAAGACAAGCCTTACGTTTCCGAAGACTAAAACCAGACACTCAACGTAGGGCCATCAAGCTGTAACACTCTGACAAGGATACAGAACTCTCCTTCATCAGATCTACAAAAAACACCATCTAACTCTGTAATCTCTCTAATTACATCCTCATTTCTTCAATAACTATTCAAAATAAAAATCACCAAATCAATTTTATATCCTGCCAATTCAACCAATTATTTGGCATTTTCAATAGTTTTGTTCTCTTCTATGTTTTCATTTCAAACACGAAATATGTCAACTATACTAAAACACTCCTCAAGGTCAAGGAAGAGCCCTGACCAAGCCGACTGGCTCTAGAGATTTCATTGGCTGGCCACAGTAGGCAGCCATCATCACCTGTTATACCGCTTCTAGGGAGAAAATTGTGTTTCCTTCCTTTATGTGAACAAACACATAAAGATGTAACTGTGCATACAAAAAAAAGGTGCACCATTTGGAGCAAGTTTTTAAGAAATATAAACACTTCTGTATCATTTAGTGCCATTTCCTCTCTAATTTGTAACAAGTAACAAACATTCCTTAATCTAGACTTGACCCATCCTTTGGTCCAAACAGATTTTACTTGCCCTGCATTTTGTATGGCATCCAGAGCCTGTCCAAAGTTCAATGACAACTCGCTAACCAGCTCCATTAAGTATTAAAATCTTATGTCTCTTCTGCTATGGGTTTAACTGTGATTTTCTTTATTACTACAGACTCTGAGCAGGGCAGAAATACTCTTGCTACATTAATAATCAGGTCTTCTCTGTCTCTTTCAATGAGGAGGAAGCTGGCTTTCTGTTTCTCTGTGGCTTGGCAAAATCTGGGGAGGGATTTTTAAACTAAATCTGTCCATATCAGAATTGTGAATGCCCTTAAATGTTTTTTCCTCTCAGGGATTTTGTTAGCAGCTAACTTCAAATTTTGACCTGTTTCCTCTACAGGTAGAGAAATCTTCCAGCTTTTCCAATTGATCTCTATGCATTTGGTTGCCTTGATAAATATTAAAAAGCCCTTAATATTTGTGTGTGTGTGTACGTGTTTCTCATCCACCAATTTTATCAAAGACCTCTCACTCTTAAAGAAACCATAGCCCTTTTCCCAGAACATTTTGAAAAGCATTCAAACAAAAGACACTCTAGTTTTGTCTTTTTTCAGGTTAAAATATACTTACACGGCCCTAGGAACAGAATGCAAAACGGTTTATGAGTACTGAGCTTCTGAAGAAGGAGACTTGATGGAAATCTCCAGCTGAGCTCTCCCAAAGAATTGCTCGTACTCATAACTCATGTTTTCTTTCCCAGTCCTTACGGCAGGATTCTTGGAGAAATGTCCTGCTGAATAGTCTTGTTCAAACAACCCCTTCAGCAGGACCCTAATCCTGGAGGCCTGTCAAGATTTCCAGAGTTCCGCCCAGAGGGTAGCAAGACCACATCGAGCTTTCAACCACTCCCACCCTGCTATTTTGTAATCTGCGGGCAATTTCTGGGAAATAATGCACAGTGAGGAGGTGAGCCCACCAGGCCTTCCTCAAAGGGCCTCCATACCACAGATCATTACAGGAGGTTAACTGTCTGCAGGAGCATCAATTAAAATTCCAAGACGTCAAAAAAACTTCGCAAAAGGGACTCCTCCCAAGTAACGCCCTCCCTGTGCAGTCTGGGTGCCCACGTTTTTGAGGGTCTTCAGTACTTATAGGAGCCTCTCTGATGGCAGCCAGACTTATACTTGCTTACCACATGGTGAACCCAGCTTTGATCATCCACTGCTCTTTTCACTGAGTTCAGTATCTGACTGTAACCTCCGCTACTCTGTCTCCTATTGGGTCCTAGTGTTCAAATAAGCCATGGTCCTGAAGTGACCCAGTGGTGCAGCTGCATTTCTCACTCCCCTGTGGCTTTACAGCAGTGTGTTGGAGCTTCCACACACTGGATGCATGTTTCATGTCTTGAAATATCTTTTAAATTATTTTTTAAACTATGGTTAAAAAATACATACACGCTAATTTAGATTAGATGTCACATATTAACTTTGAAGAGACTTGGGCTGCCCTGTTAATGGCTGGGTTCTCCAGAGGCCTCAGAATGAAGCTTTTCCTGCCTTCTCTGACACGCTTGTGAATGGCACTGATGAAGAAGGTTGTAGCTCTGCATGGGTGTTTGGACTTCAGGCCTGCACATGTCTGCTCATATACAATTATACAAGCAGCTGCAGACTAAGGCTCACACACACTCAATTAAATGCCAGGCATAGGCCCAAGAGCATCTGCCTGGCAAACGCTCTAGCCTTGATTGGGCAATTGCATGTGGCACCATCCTAATAACATATTATAGACCATTTTACTTTTTATTGTAAGTCCTGGGACTTTGGGGCTAGTGAATAGTTAAAAAAAAAAAAAAAAAAAAAAACCTACGAGATATCCTTAGTGATTCAATTTTGAAACAAAAAGTTCTTCCTTCCCTTCTCTGTAGACCCTGAATCAACTTATTTAAAGAGTATCCTGAGATTGCAAGATGAGCTTCATCAAAGAACTGTTACCAATTGAATTACTTACCTCTGTGGATCAAGATTTTCTTAACACCATGCAGCTAAAACAGATCACGGAATAAACAAGATGCTGAGACTACTGTACAAGCTATCATCCATAAATCCTGATTTCAAATGTCAGTGTTTATCAGAACAGACTCATTTATCTCATAAGGTTTAAATACAAATTTGAACTTATATAATAAATTCGCCTTAATAAAATACTGCCATTGGCTATTTTTTTTTTTTTGAGGAAGATTAGCCCTGAGCTAACATCCATGCCCATCTTCCTCTGCTTTATATGGGATGCCACCACAGCACGGCTTGACAAGTGGTGCGTCAGTATGTGTCCAGGATCCAAACCCGCAAATCCCGGGCCACAGAAGCAGAGAGTGTGAACTTAACTGCTACGCCACCAGGCTGGCCCCATCCACTGGCTATTTTATATATTGAGATTTTACATGGGATTTTGATTGAAGAAATTTTAAAAGGGTCTATTAGCTTAAAGAAAAGTTTGAAAACAGTCTCAGTGACACGGACTACAGTTCCTGAGCACAGAGCCCTTCTCCTGACTCTTGCACTAGAGGACGGTGGCACCCAGGAGTTATGCTCTCTGAGCACTGGTCTTCTGAGCTGCAAAATAGAGATAATACTACTTGTTCTACTGACCTCCTATGGTTGATACTAGGATCAAATAAAATATGCAGGTGAAAGTCGTAGATATTTGGAGCAGAAGGGACGAGAAAGGTCACCTTTCAAGTATACCAGATCAATTAAGTAAAAATCTGTGGGAATGCAGAAAAGAACAATATTTTTTCAAGTTCTTCAGGTAATTCTATTGTGAAACCATGATAAATATCCACTGATCCAGTAACACCTTTATTAAAAAAAAAAAAAAAACCTGAGGCCTAAAGGTCCCCCAGCAAATAGCAGGGCATAGCTTAGAACCCAAGCCACTTGGACCTCAGTCCAAGTATCTCCCCCTACAGCACACAGTTCCTAGGCCTCGGTGGCCTTTGTGAACAGCAAACTTATTACACATATGTACATAGCATATCAAAAATATCAGTGAGATGCAGACCCTCAAGGCTAGTTACTATAAAAAAACTATATAGTAAAACTCAAATATCAAATTTCTTCTTCTCCTGTTTTCTCTTTTAAAGGTTCTCCACTTACCTGAGAGACCCCATGAAATGGGGAACCATGATGCTGGGGGTCCCAGGAAAAGCAAAGGCTCCTCAGAGATGTTGCCAATTTTCTGCAGATGGGAGTGGTTTTCAAGTCCTACAGAAGGAAAAACATGCTATTTTTAGCATCATTTGCTTAGGAAGATTCTAGAGCCTAAGTGGGCCAACGAAACCAGAATTGAGCAAATGAAAGACATTAAAACAAAAATACCACTAGCCATTTATGGTAACCAGATTTCCCAACTGAAATCTGAATACATATGAATATGAGGTACCAAATTTACTGGACACTCAGCACAGCAACTGATCCACAGAAGATGCTCAATAAATTACTATTAGTATGATCACCTCAGACTCCAAGCTAATAGCAGAGTTGGCATTAGGCAAACCTGCAATAAAAATCTAGCACCATCTATTAAAGGCTACTTGACAATAGGAAATTCATTTCACTCTTGTGTGTCTTGGTTTCCCCAACTGTACAGTAGGGGTAAAAATAGTGCCTAACAATAAAAAGAGATGACATACTGATATACACTACAACATGGATGAACCTTGAAAACATTACCCTAAGTGAAAGAAGCCAGACACAAAAGGCCATATATTGTATGATTCCATTCATAGGAAACATCCAGAATAAGCAAATCTATAGAGACAGAAAGTACATTAGTGGTTGCCAGGGTCTTGGGGGTGGGGAGGGGGTAGTGGAGGGGTACAAGGTTTCCTCCTAGGGTGACAAAAATATTCTAAAGTTAGATTGTGGTGATGGTTTCACAACCCTGTGAATATACTAAAAGCCATTGAACTGTACACTCTAAATTGGTGAAGTCTATGGGATGTGAATTACATGTCAATAAAATTGTTTAAAAATACTGCCTACAGAACTGCTGCAGGTTGTGAAGTGTAAACAAGTGGACACATGGTATATGCTTAGTCCATGCTAGCGCAGAGTGACCCTCAATAACAAGTAGCTCTGATGATACTGATCCAAGAAGAGGTGAGGCAACACTTAAAATGTGTTATCACAGTAAAAACAGGAAAGTAAAACCCCTCGCCAACAAATACTACTTTATTCAGAAGCCCTCACTAAACAGAATTTCTAAACATTGCCAAGCGAGCCAAGTTTCCAAAGTAAATTATAAATAGCATCTGAAATCTAGGGATGGGAGATTCGGTAGGAATGTAATATAACTTGGGGAGAAAAACCATGGGCCAGCCTCCTTTCCTCCCATACCTCCTTTCAGGGAAAGACAAATAAATGAAGCAAGGTTTCAAGGTGTGCCCAGGGGTCCTCTATAATAAAGCCAGAGTTTTCCAAAATCATTGGTTTCTGAAGTCTTCCTAGAACTTCAAATTTCCTTCTCACTAGAAAGGGGGCCTGGGGGCCAGCCCCCATGGCCTAGTGGTTAAGTTCGGTGTGCTCCACTTTGGCAGCCCGGGTTCCGTTCCGGGGCACAGACCTACACCACTCGTCTATCAGTGGCCATGCTGTGGCAGTGGCTCACATACAAAAAGAGGAAGATTGGCAGCAGATGTTAGCTCAGGGCAAATCTTCCTCAGCAAAAAAAAGGGGGGGGGGGATGGGGAGACAAATTATAAGGATTTAAGAAAAGACAGTCAGGAGAATCAGAAAATTCCATTTGCAGGGAAGAATAATCAAGATTTTAAAAGTTACCACCAGCCCTTTCTAGGGGTTATTAAGAAAGTAAAGCCTCTTAACTGTAATCACCCGTAATTAGCCATCAGCAACTCATGAAATTACTCATGGTATTGAAGACCCTTAGATTCTTGGGTCTCAGCCAGAAGTTACACTGAGATGCACCAGGAAGAAAGCCAACAAGTGCAAATTGGAACAGTTAAAACTCCTCTGAATCTGAGGTGTGGTCTTCCTGCTCTTGGCTGGGGAGCAGGTATGCACAAAGACGGGACTGAACTTGGGAGTCACATGAAATCTCTGCCAAGCTCCTGATAATGATCAACTAATCAGTAATTATTTACTCAATACGTGATATGCTCAGGTCCTCTCTGAGATGCTATGTGATTCAAGAGAAGGGTGAGTCAAGGCAGGGTCTCACTTTACAATCTAGCTTCGGTGAATAAGATGTAGCAACATGTTATTGTCTGGGAAAAGGATGGTGTTATCTGGAACAACAAGGGTAAATGATGTTACAGAGACCCTAAGTACAAATCAAGCTAGTTCAAGAGAAGGAGAATTCCTATAGAGGGCTGGGTGGGCATCAGCAAGGAAGATGGGACTTAAAATCAGCCCTTAGCCTACACAGGTTACAAATGAACAATCTAGAGCAGTTGGTAAGAGTACACACTATACTCTGAAAGACCTGGATCTGAGACCAACATCCCCATTTATTAACCAGATGACCATTGGCAATTAACCCTTTTGTCTTCCAATTTCCTCATCTGTAAAATGGGGATACTGTTTGTAACTACCTCATAGGGTTGTTACAAGTATTAAATATTTATTGAGACTGCATGACTTGGGTGCTAGACACACACACACAACAGGCACAGTCCCTGCCCTCAAGAAACTTACAGCCTAGATGCTAGAGGGCTATAAACTTTAAACAAACTGAAACATAAATAAGTATAAAAATAAAATTGTGATAAGAACCATGAAAGAAAATCCAAGGTGCCTCAAAAAGTATACTAGGCAGTGGTCAGAGACGGTCCCTCTGAGAAGTGACCTCCATGCTGGGGCTTGAGGGGTGAGTTGGAGTCACCCAGGCGAAGAGAGAGCAGGGCGACCCAGGGAGAGGGAATCACAAGTGTAAAGGTGTGTGAGGAACTGGGAGGAAGGAGGAGGCAGTGCACTGGGAATACAGCAATGGAAGGAGAACTGACTCTCTACGGAGAGGTAAAACTCCCAGAATACGGTAAATGAATGGCTGGAGGGGATGAAGGAAGGAGAGGTGTCAAAGATGACTCCCTCCAGATGGACAGAGGTAGCAAAAGGAGGTGCTAACTGAGCATTTTTGGTTTTGTCAGGAAAGAAGGGCAATGGTGAGAGAAGAGGGTGTGATGTAAAGCAGTAGTTTGCAAATCTGACAAGAAGTCAACCAGAAAAACCTCTTAAATTATCAAAACAATTTGAAAATAGATTTACAACCACGGCTGATAACCACGAACCTCATCCTCTGTGAGTATTTTGCCTTCAGATATTTGCTGATAAGAAAATGAAGCCATCGTGATTAGGATGTCATTTTAAAATATGGTTTCTTTCATCTTTATCTCATCCTTTTAAAATTTTTATTTCGAATGTATGTTTTATGTGGTCACATCATAAACTGATAAGTTAAAAAAAATAACCGAAGATAGATTGGGGTTTTACACTCAAATGTTTTTTACTGATGGCGTGTGCAATCAGAAAAAAAATTTTGGAGGCCACTACTCTAGAATGTTTTTTGACCAACTTCTTGTGAGCTTCCATTAGTCACCCTTGTCTCAGGATGTGGTGGATGAGCTTGCCCAGGCAGAGCCTGTACCAGCTCTGCCATTTCCTCAGTGCTCACTTGTGCTTCCGTCATCAGTATTGTGTTAAATCAGCTCTCCTTTTCAAAGTGCAGGTCACGACCCATGAGTCCGTCATGAAATCAATTTCGTGGCTCATGACCTGCACTTTTTTTAATGCAATAGAAAAGAATGAAAGAGAAGAGAAAATACTAGCGTTACCACACACAGCAAGGGTAAGTATTTCTGACTGTGGCTCACAGTCAGAAAAGTTTAAAAGCCCTCACTCTGGAAGACCAGATTCTAACTGTGATTAGGGGAATAAAATCGTGAAGACAAGGCAAAGCCATGTTATCCAAGCCTTTGAAAAACGGCGCCAGGAGAATTTTGATGAGATGCACAAGAAAGAACCATTTAGGTTCTGGAGTAGGGAGGGACCTAATGAAAGTGAGGTTTCCTGAAAATCCGTTTAGCAACAGTGTGCCGGACAAGCAGACTGAGCAAACATGCTATCTGTGGAGCTGTGCCCACCTTTCGAGGTTTGCTCCTGTTGATTTATAACCTTTCTTGACAGGGAACAAAAAATCAAACAATCTAGTTTCTGTTAGAACATAACGCTCCCTGGAGGATGGAGGCCCCACCTTCTCTCCTTTCCACAAAGATCCTACAGGAAGGCTGAACAAGTCACCTGATTTGATTCAGGCCAAAGTCGCAGTCCCCACACATCGGGAGGAAGTGGCAGGAGGCTGCAAGGCTCAGGATGGCAGGGACAGAAAGAGGGGCCCAGACAGATCTAACTCAGGGCAGAAGATGGCGCTCCTGACTCCAGAAGATGCCACTGTGCCCTGGACAACCACACTGTTCTGCTGCCCCTTACCCATAGACGCACCTCTGAGTATCTTTCCTGCCCCTTCTCCTCATGGCCTGACAGAGCTCCTGGAAGATCCCACCTGATTTCAGCCTGTATCCTAGAAGAGAAGGATCTGCTCAGCCTCTCATGTCTGGGTTCAGAAAAGCCCACCTCGAGGCCACATCCCAACTACAGGCAACAGTTCCACCTCCCTCTCTCCCACATGCAGGCTTCTCCCTCTGGAACTCCCACAATGTAAAGTAACCACCCAGACAAACAAAAGCCCTAGTCCCTGAAGGAGAGGAAGTGACTCACCAGCACAAGAATGAGGACCAGGGATTTCAGAAGGAGGCAGTTCCAAGACCCCAGATCAGCACCCAGTAACACATGGGGAGAGCGGGTCTCAGAACCTGCCCATTCCTCTATGAAAGCTACTCTCTGAGGGTGCTGACGGAACGGGAGCCTCTGCACCCGGCCTACATCCTGGCCAGTCCTGTCTTCATCAGCATCACCAACACATTCTCCTGCCACCCCCCCACCATTTACGCAAACTTTCTTCTCACAGAACCCTGGCCCACTGTTTGCAGCGTCCCCTACCTGATGTTCCAGTTGTTTGAGGTCAAAAGTACCAGGATGTGGGTTCTCAATATCAGTGTGTCCAACCCACCTCTGTCTTCCATTATCAAGAAAGTGGAAGAAGAGTCAGGAATCAACTTTTACTAAGCACCTGATAGGGGACATGAGCCATGTCATTTAATCCTCACAGCAAAACTGAAGCCATATGG